TTTTTTTTTTTTTTTTTTTTTTTTAATGGATGGGGGAGATGAAAGGAGGTACTTGAGTGAATGATGGAAAGCAAGCTGGTAGAATATTGTGAAGTATAAAAGATCTTTTTTTTTTCACTCTGCACAGTGGATAAGAATACAAAAAAAGATCTTTTTTTTTTTTGTTGTTGTTGTTGTTTCCAATAGGGTCTTGAAAAGCTGGAGTACATAGCAAAGACAAATCTGCAACACCGTCCTCGGCAAACAGGACCCATAGGGGTGTTTATAAAGTGCTAGAGACGTGTGGACAGGAGTTAATGATTGACAGATCAAGGGAGGCATGATTACCAGGAAGAGTTTGATTTAGGCAAAACATGTCAGAGCTGCTAAAGGCAGGTTAGTTCTTAGCACAGTTCTTCCGGCCAAAACACAAAGTGATGAGATGTTGGATGTGTTGAGCAGTCTCTTTTACAATTAGCTGGGAAGTACCTTTTCTTACCCCACACACGTGTTCATTTGCGGGTGGTAAATCGTTCCTCCATAACTGTTGCACACACAATCGTGTGCAAGAATTTTCCTTGGCAAAAGAAGCCCTTTGCAGAGTTACTATTTTCTTTCCCCAGATGGTTCCTGACCATTTACTTCAGGGTGGCCAGTTTGGGTGCCCAGTCCCATAGCATTCGAGTCTTCCCAACTCCGTCGCCACCGTGGACAGGGGTGCCAACCTTGTGACGTGGTTGACTGACTCTGAGTTCAGGGTTGGAAGCTTTGGGGCCATCTGTATACCAGTCAACAAGGGATCCTTAGGCTTAGTCGGAGAGCCATGAGCCATTTCATCTGATTAGGGCTCGCCTTTCCGAGGAACCTCCACAGCGTCTGAACAAGCTCTCTTCCTTGAATGGACTTTGAATTTGATCAAGTAGCTTGTATTTTAAGGTTTAAAGTGTCATTAAATTAACCTAAATTATGCTGTCTGGACTGTGCAGTAGTGTTGTGGTTTACAGAAGGAATTAGCGGAAAAGGCAAAGTGCGGATACTAATTTGTAAAACATCCAGCCAGACTTTCTAAAAGCTACTCCAAGCCCCAGAGCTTTTGCCCACTTTGTCTAACTTCCAACACTAATCCCCACAGACCTTCTGTGGGTTAGAGATTCTTATTTCCAACTCACTGTATAATTGCAGGTTGCAATACACAAGAGACTGGTGGCTGCAGCAAGCAGCGCTGGTGATTGCTTACACTGTCCAGTAGAGGGCCATACTGCGCCTCTTTCCTCTCTCCTTGGCTGCCTCCTCTCCAGTCATTTGAGTTGTTGAATTGGCTTTGGATTGTTGCAGTTTGTTCTAATAGAAGAGGCACGACGGTGTAAGACACTCCCCCCCCCACACCTTGTCTAACTGCCCATGCAAATTTAAGCAATGCATACTGAATGCAGGGACCCAGCTTTTGGCTGCAGAATTCTCTTACCTCCAGAAAACCTTCAATAATTGGAAAAGTCTTTTATTTTAAAAACAAGGTCCCAGTATAGGTCTCGCACAAGCAGACAGCACCGACCAAAGGTAATGAACTAAACTGTAGTAGGTATTAGGATGCACGCGTCCTTTTTCCAGCCGGCGACATAAAGATTACTCCAGAACGTTAGTTAAACATTAAGCATTTTATTAAAAACAAGAAGCTTCTGTTTTCTTAAAGCAGTCTGTTTCGAAGCCATGGGTAGTTGCTTCTGTAATGGCCAATCAGCATTTTACCAAGTGTTCTTACAATACAGTATTAACCTGGAAACTTCACAGAGAGAGGGGCTTCACACGAGCCAGCCGACAACGTATTTCCCTTCTTTGGGGTAATACAACAATAATTAGGAAACAAGTCAGTAAGGAACTCTTTTTAGATTATTGTAAATCAGAATAAAACGGCGAAAGCAACAGCCCTCCAAGGGGATAGACTCAGCAAACTAGACTTCTGCCTCCACACTGTGCTATGCTTTAAAGGTGCTCTGAATATGATGTGATCTAAATCCACATGAAAGCAGAAGAAAAACAAGCGTGCTAACACACATATGCACAGACATGAACACAGATGATGGCTTCAAAGAAGATACTTTTTTTTTCCCACGGCAAGTAGCTCATTTACTTCATAAGACACACGGTTTTGCACCGATGCCTACATTCAGTTACAGTGGTGGGTACAGGTGGATACATAGATGACCACTGGCCTTTAGTGATGCCAAGAGATGCACAAGCATGAAAGGCCATTTAAAATCAAAGTATGTACAACCCAAACTCATTCGCTGGGGAGACAGGGTGACACAGAGAGTGAGCACAGTGCTGGGCGCCGCTAAATCCGAGGCCCTTCAAGTACGTCTCCAGTCACATCTTTTAGGATGGGCCGGTCATGTTCTACCACTGTTCTCTTAGGACAAGGGTTCTCAATCTTCCTAACGCTGCGACCCTCTAATACAGCTCCTCATGTTGTGGTGACCCCCAGCCATAAAATTATTTTCGTTGCTACTTCGTAACTGTAATTTCGCTACTGGTAAGAGTCATAATGTCAACATCTGATGTCAGGCTGTCTGAGCTATCTGATATTTGATCTCTGGTGGGGTTGTGACCCACAGTTGACTTAGGAAGTGTGTGACACTTTGGCCTTCTAGCAGCAGGACTTAACCTTTAAATTCTTAGTAATTTAGGGCTTAGGCACTCTAGATACACAAGGTAGAATAACGATTCTAGATTGTTACTGTGAAACATTAGGAATTCACTAAAGGAGGCGGGGCAAAGTGTTTAGGGTCCCAAATCAGGTTACACTGAGTAGCTTTAATGAATCTTTTTGTCATTTTCCCCACCAAAACACATTTCTCTTTATGTTTGAATTTCATCCAAACATGTTTAGATTTCTGCTGCACTTGTGAAGTTAGATCCCACAAGGGTCAGTAAGAGAAATGAGTTGGAAAAAGATTGTGCTGCAAAGGAAACGGAGTAAAATCAGTCTAACAACGTAAGCCATTGAGGTACGCTAAAGTCAGTCTAACAACGTAAGCCATTAAAGTACGCTAAATTTTGATATACAGAAAAAACAAGTGAATTCCAGAAACATACTGTCGTTACTGCACTAATAAAAAGCAGTGCTAAGATCATCTTAAATGCAAGATATTTGCAAACCTGGAGTACCTGGAAGCATGCAAGCCTTCGGGTTTCAAGACACAGAGAACTCATGTACAATTTTTGCCTTTCTTGGCTCCCTTTACAAGTTCACTTCTAAACTAATGATTCCCACATGGGATTCAGGGATATGAGATAATCTCAGGCTGTTCCGTATGAAACAGGAGAATACCCACTTCTGAGCAGGTGTTGGTGACTACATCGTTCACACTCATTAGAAGCTGTCTCCGACGCTTTGTAGGAAGGTTGTTTTGGGGTTCACTCCCTCTCTATGTAAATGTTTACCCTGTCTTCGGTGAGACGATGACTCTCTCGGGTTTGCTTCTATTTTATTTGAGAAGCAGAAAGAAGAGAATGACTTGGATGAAGTTTCCAAAGCAAAGCATAGCATAGCTTGGTCCCTGGATGCAGAAACTGGATAAAAGCTGGGGCTTTTATTTAACAGATAGAAACCTGAAGCGCCGCAGAGTCCCCAGATAGTAGGCCCATTGGCAGCCAGCGAGGAGGGAGCCCGTTCCGCTGTGGACTGGTGGGTCCCCTTGGTGGTCTGCCAAGATGCGCTCACCCACCGCTATCACCAGCTGTGCTGTGGGCTGTGTACACAGTAGCTACACGCTCACTAACATGGATAAATAGAGTTTCTGAAAAAATACATCTCATACAAAAGGAGGATGGAGTCACCTCGGCTGTTCGTGCCAAGAGACCTGAGAAAGCAGACAATCTTGTCTGTTTGAGTTTTTTTTTTTTTTTCCTTTGAAGAGGGCTCACATTTCAAATGCCTTTTTCCAACAGGAAACAACAGTGAAGAATAAGGATTGAGACGTTTCCTCATCCTGTGTGTTGGAAACAGAGTCTAGGATCCCACATAACTCACGGTCATGGGAAAGAAATCGTTTTACAAGGGCTTTAAAAATCCCAACCTTTGACCTCTAGGGTTTGGCTACCACCATCTCTCCCAGTTCTCCACAGTCATGGAGGAGCAGACCCCAGACATTAGTCAGCAGTTTCTGAATCTTGACCCACAATAGGACAGATACCTTGAGACAGGAGAAATAGATGGAGGCAATTACAAGCAGCCGTTTGATTGATGGTTGACATTGTCAGGGCTCCACTGTCTGGCAGATTGCAATGCTGTTGAACTCCCTTTGCTACCGATGGATGTTGCTATTGGCAACCGTGCAGTGAAGCCAATAAAAAGGCAAGATGAGAGGAAAACTCAACCTTAGAGGAAGCCGTAGGGTTTGTGCTGTAAATTATGTCCCCCTCAGCAATATGTAGCATCAACATTCAGGGAGGAGGGAGGCTGCTGTCTCGCTGCTGCCAGCAGCCTCTGGAAGACACTGGGTCCAGTTGTATCAGAAAGCACATGCTTGGAACTGTCTGCTTTGGGTGGACTGGCGTCCATTAGGACGGGTAACAGATGTGGGCTCACCGCAGCCTCACGTGGACTGCTTCTCCATTCCCGTCTGCGACAGAAGCGTGATGTGGTGCGGTACCCAGAAGCACCTGCAGACGATCCTACAGACTAGGGTCTTTTCCTAACTCCACCCATCCTTTGTTCCTCACCTGAAGGAGGGAGACAGCGCTGCAGAAGCTATTTGCCTTTATAGCAGAGTGATTCAGAAAACTGGCTTAATAAAATGCATAAATCTGTACAGCCTCCTTTTACCTGCTCTGCAGAAGCATTTTTTTTTCTGCTCTCGTGCCCCCCCCCCCCAGCCTTCCCTGCAGACACAGATGTGAAGGGCAGCTAGTAACATTGTTTCTTAGTGCGCCCAGCCCTTCCTTTTCTCCTTTGTCAAGATTCTCCCTGTGTAATTGTCTCTCTTTCCTGCTCAATTGATGTCATGATTCTGTACCCTCATTTGGGAGGGTGGGGGAACTGTATTGCCTTTTTTCTTTGCTTGGATTGACTTTCACCCCCCTTAGCCATTGTCTTAGCCATCTATCTACCTTAGTCCCTATCTTCTAGTCCCACCCTTTGCCCCGTTTATTTTATTGTGTTTCTTGCCATAACAAAGCTGTCTTCCTCGTGGTGATTTCCAGATCATCCCACTCCTTGTTTGGTACCTTCATTTTAGGACCCTCCCATCCCCAGCTTCAAACATCTGACCACTATTTTTTGATAATAACTGATACTGGTCAGTAAAAGTAAGGAAAAAATGTTTTGTAAATGTTTGTTTGTTTAAAGCTGGGCTGGCTCTCAGGTTTCACATCTGCGGGGATTTTCAGAGTACTCAGAGCCTCTCTCTGGAGCACCATTACGTGAACAAAGAGACGATGATTTGTGTGGACTCTAGACCCTCAAGCCCTGTGAGCTCTGAACCCCCTGGACCTGTGGGCTCTGGACCTCCTGGACCTATAGGCTCTGGACCCCCAAGACCTACTTCAAACAAAAGCTCTCAGCTTTCAGCTATCTTGTGTCCTGGGGAGTCCTTGAAAATTTGTTGCACAAAGGATTTTAAGGTTAAGACTTCTGCAAGTAAGCTACTAGGGTAATTTCAGTTTGGGCAGCAGAGAAACCTGTCCAAAGCCACCCAGTTGAGGATGCAAAATTAAGGACAGCAAGGCCAGTACTTTTCGGTGAAGATGGACCCTGTCCACAAGTGTCTTGGGTGACATGGGCATCAAAGTAGCTTAGTAGATACCACATCCATTTAAAACAGTTTTTTTCACCTGTTAGAGGCCTGACTTCCTAGAGGATATAGGTTGTGTAGACGTCATTTCCTGGCCTTTCTAGAATATTCTTTTTTTTTCACTTAAGGAAAAATATAAAATTGAGGTACCTTAAATTTTATCCCCAAACTTTTTCACCTCAGGCTAGTCCATCCTCAGTCTCAGGGGTCCTCTGCACTTGTAAAATCTCTCTCTCTCTCTCTCTCTCTCTCTCTCTCTCTCTCGTAGTTCTAGTGTTCACAGGTCACCTGTGGTACACGTGACTGTAAATTCCTCTTCCCCTTTGCTTGAATAAATTTATTAATCTATTCTTCTCAGGAAAAGGCCTGGTCTACAATGAAGGCTGAATTCAAACACTGAAAAAGGAACTGTGATCTCACTGCCAGGGTTATAGATTCTGTAACCCTCCAATTAGCAAGCTCACTGCGTTCCTACTGGGGACCCTTTGAAAAGATTGGGGTGAGTTGGTTCTCATAAGGGGGAGGCTCATCCAACAGGCAAACGAGACCAATGGTCTGGTGCATCACTAAGAAACAGTTGCATCAGAAATAAAACACCTAAGATACAAATCTGGATTCTTGGGACTGTCTGGAACAAAGACGTGCCTAGAAGGGACGTGCTTATGACAGGAAAATGCCATACGTGAAGCAGTGTTAGCGACACTTTTACCACGCTGTCCCCTCAACTCTGAACGAGTGGGGCTGATAGCCCTCAGGCTCTTGGATCCAAATCCAGCAGTGTGGGTTCATCATGGAAAGCGGAGGGTCAAGCTCTCTGCCAGCCTCTGTCTTTCATCCTTCCAGTCCTCAGCCATCAAGCACACTTCCGGGTGCACTTCCGGGTCCGGTCTATACAGTCTGCACTTTTGGACTGCCTGAGCGGAAAGATGCGGCTGCTGCAGCGGATCCTTCAGGCAGCAGAGGACCCTTCAGACCGTCGCACAGAGGCTCTGGGTGCTTTACATCCTATCCTCGCCCGCCGCCACGGTGAGACTCGCAGGGACTGGGGAGGCGGCGGAGACCTGCAGTCTTTTCTGATGTAACTCTTCCCACTTCCTTCGGTTGGCAGCCACTGAATCCAGCATTGGCTTCAGTTTGGCATTGACCTTCACCAAGGCCTAAAGCAAACGAGAAAAAGGTGGAGAGTGAGGAACCTGGTCATGGGTTTGTATTCTCCTCCTCCTTGTGTTTGTAAGGGGGATGGAAACCGGGTATAGGAAAGGAAATGGCTACCAGGTAAACACAAATTATTTCTGAGAAGTAGGTATGCATCCACCACTCTTGTGTTCTATTCATAGAGCCTGTGCCGAGAATGACAAACAAGATGACTGTGTGTTATTCAAGGGACAGGCAGCCTTGTAGACTGTCTGTGTTTACAAGTGCATCAAAAAACCCAGAAGACAAAAATGCATGCCACTATTATCTATCAATAACTGTATCTTTGCCTACCAGAGAGAGTTTTACCTATCAGTAGACTGTGAACTCAAATTTTTCAAAAATAACTTTGCAATAGTGTTGGCAGAGGCTGCTCATTCATTTCCCAGCCGCCCAGACCTGAAATAATCATACAGAAACTGTATTAATTGCAATACTGTTTGGCCTATTCGCTTATGCATATTGCTAGCTAGTTCTTACATCTTAAATTAACCCATTTCTATTAATCTGTGTATCGCCATATGGTTGGGGCCTACCAGTAAGGTTCCGTCTGGCATCCATCATGGCTGCTACATGGCTTCTCTCTGACTCTGCCTACTCTCTCCTCCTCTATCTGCTTGGAGTTCCCACCTTGCCCTACTCTGCACTGTAATAGGCCCAAAGCAGCTTTATTCGTTAACCAATGATTCACAGCATAGAGAGGGGAATCCCACATCACAAAAGCATCTGCCACAGATGCCTGCTGAACTTTCCCACGTAAGAAAGACCAGGTAACAAGAGGGGCTCATCTTCCAAAAGCAAAAGTGCGGTGGCCATGCTGGACATACAGATGAACACAGAGTGACATAGATCTGAATGATGTCAAAGGGCAGCAGGGCCGAGTGCTGTTATGGGTGCGTGTGGGTGGGGTGGGGTGGGGGGAAGGATGTCTTCATGGGAGCCTGCTGACATGACTTCGTGTGTCTCCCAGAGTCCTGCCTTCCTCATAGCTGGTCAGCTTGGCTGCAAGCCCTCTTACTTATCTTTCTCAGTGTTCCTAACTATGCCCTTTTAAATCTTCTATGCCCTTTAACACAAACACCTGTTTTCACTCTAGTGACAAAGGGAAAGGGGCGGGGAGGAGAGTGATGGAGAGGTGTGGGGAAGATGAGAGTGGAATGTAAGCAATGATCAGATGGGGCAGACGGATCACCAGGCTCGTGAAACCGACGCTTCGGGGTCCCTACTTTCAAGTGGTGTGAATGACTTCTGACCTCAGAAGCCCTGGTTGGCCCCTGGCAGTGGAACGGGAATCCTACAGCATGCTGTCTCATCTGAACTGGATGCACACGAGCCTTCTGTAGCTTTTGAATCCGTCCACCCAGAGATGCAGTACTATGGGATGGGCCAAAGACGTTACCTATCAACTAGGGTAAGAACGGATTCAGAAGGCTCAGGCTAAATATCAGTTGATACACATCTTACAGGCCGGAGGGGCATGGAGAACACCCTGCCCATCTGGGAAACCCTCATGATTCTCTGTTCCATTGGAACTTTTTTTTTTTAAAACTTAAACTTAAATTGTAAAATTAAAAGTTTAGAGTTCTTTTTCTCTATGTTAAAGGCTTTTTATTTATTTATTTCCCTGTGCTGTTAGGGATCAAACTGAAGGCCTCGTGCAGGACAAGTACTCTCCCTCTGAGCTGTAAACTTCATCCTAATATTTTGTCTTTCTCTTCCTCTGCATTGGAATAAGTCTTACTGCTTATTATGAAAGAATTCAACATATTCAACAAGTAAAATACAATTAGCAAAAACATCTTTTACAGTATCTACATGTGAATAACTAAATAATAAATATGAGTAAAATCATTCATATAGGACATACATAGTAAAGGGTCTTGGAGTCCTTTTCTATTCTAGACAATCCTATTTTTGAGAAAAGGAAATAAAGGGTGTCATTCAGTGGTAGAATCTTTGTCTCGTCTGTGGAAAACCCTGTGTTTAAGCTCCAGCAGTAGAAAAAAGGAAATATGGGGGACAGTCTATCTTTTTGCTGTTGTTGTTGCTTTTTTTTTTTTAAAGACAGTGTCTTATCATGCCTTGGCCAGTCTAAAACTCACGGTATAGACTAGGCTGGCCTCAGACATTGAGTGAGTTTATAGGTCACAGTTCATTATTAAGGGAAGCCAAGGCAGGATCTGAACTAGAGACCATGGGGGAGTGTTGCTAACTGGCTTGCCATAGCAACTTTCCCCTATGCAACCCTAAAGGAATGAGCCTGGGGCTGCAGATGTACTACTTGTCTTTAGAAAGATGATCTTTGAGGTGAGCCCACTGCTGAGGCCAGGGATTAAAACCTTGGTCCCATGGAGGTTGCAGGTTGGCCCCATTCATCACAAGGGGACAAAAGTTGAACTGAGAATAAAACCACAGTAGTTCCTGCACATCTTCTAGAAAGCACCGTCTAGGTGTGCCCCGTGGTTAAGGAGTGGCCTGCAGCAAAGTCCTCAACTGAAGAACAGCGTGTCCCGTAGATGGTGGAGTGTCCTTCCCTAAACACCCCTGAAACGCTCTGCCAGTAAACCCGACAGATCCCCTAACAGACCTGAATGGACAGAGACTCTCGCTGGTTGAGGTGACTCCTCTGCACATCGATGCCCTGTAATAGTTACTCTCATCCATCCCCATCGCACCGTGTGTTGTGTGTGTGTGTGTGTGTCAGTGAGTGTGTGTGTGTCAGTGAGTGCATGTGTGAGTGTGTGTGTCTTCCTTCCAGTGACCTTTGTCACACTCACTAGAAACATCTCATTTAAAATCTGATGTACCATTTATTTCATATATGAATAAACCAAAGCAACATAATAACCCAGTGATTAAAAATTAAAATTAAAAATTCCCTTTATTTCCACTAGAAAAATGCAGCTACCCAATTCCTGCTCAATGCTCAGTGTTTATCTGTCTGTCTGTCTGTTTATTTCTGACAAAAGTGTGTCACAGCGATGACTGCCATGGTCTTGTTTAGCGTGCCTTGGCACGGGCTCCTCTTTACTCTGATCAAGCCTTTTAATGAACGGACTACTGTCATTGCTATGGAAATTAGCGGATATGTTCTTTCCAGCTACAAAAGCATTTCTCTAGAACTTATTTTTTTTTAATCCCAGGAGCACAAATTGGAATTTTTTTCTGCTTGAAATGTAATTAAAAACTCATTTGATCACACTATTTCTGGCTCTGTTTTACTTATTCAATTCCTGTAATCAGTTTTCTTTTATGGAGCTGCTGGGAAATGATCTCAAAAGCAACACATTTTTCTCTTCTTTGGCAGGTTCCCGAGCATTTACTAAATTACATTCCTAGCACCTGCCCATGATCCGAATTACTCCGCCAATTTATTCTTTGAAACACTTAAGCTTGTTTGGCTTAGCCCCAAACACTTTCTCTCCTCGATCATCTCCTTTCTTCTTCCTCTGCTCCCTCTGTGTGCCGTGAAACACTGGGGCCGGGGAGAGATACCTCTTTCTCAGAATTCCCCTTTTCTTGTTTCCTCCTGGGGCAGGATCACCACAGGTGGAATCATTTTCCTTAGCACAAGTGTTGATTCTAGACAAAGGCAGTAAAACACGAGTCTGGAGGAATTGCTTTAATACTATAAATTTGCCACATAAATGCGGCTGGGTGCAAGGACAAGGAGCTAGTGGTGTATCTGCAGAGAAAGGGGAATCTGCAAAGTTAAGTCCCAGGGTTCCTGGGGACTGCCAGCCAGGCCCTGTGAGCAGGAGTACTACATACAGAGAAGTGGATGTTCCAGAAGGCTGGCCGCCAGCAGGTAATTCCTGATGGTTCTGGGAAAGTCAGTCCTTCCTTATGTAGAGAGAGGGGACTGTCACCTACAAAGGACTCATGGGTGGTTGCATCAGCCACAGGATGACCAACTTCCTTGTGGTATACATGTGACTGTGCCCCCAGGAGCAATGAGCACACTACCTCTCAAGAAGGTCCACTTTATTCTTATTGTTTGACTTTAGAATATTGTTTTCTTGTGCTGAGCTCAAGTCTATGGACCATGTAACTTATTCCCAGGGGCCTAATCCTTTAGACCAGACTCTTCCAGTCCCGTGCAGGACTCATGACTCTTGTGTTGACCCTGTGAAAACCACTGGACCTACAAGTTGGAATGCACAACTTGTCTCTTGGGACAACCTTATCCATCCCACTGGCACTCTCTCGATCCATTGGGCACCTGCGGTAGTTTTGCATGAGGGGACATACCCTACACCTAGCAGCCTGGGTGGCTGAGGGACTCCTCCTTCCTGCCTCTGCAAGTCATACTCCACTTTCAGCTTTCTTATGGCAAGCACGTGTAGTTTAGTCTACATTTTATTTATATTCTCATTAAGTAGCATTCTCATAGCTCAAGGGATAGACAAGGGCACAGAGGTACAAGGTAAAGTCTGGCTTCTACACTGCCCCAACTGTTGACCAATAGATATGATCAGCTGTTTGTGTGGCCACAAGAAAAATTTTTACCAGTATAAGTAAAACACGAGATATTTTTTTTGTCTACCTAATGTTTTTCAGCTGTCAAATTTGTCAAGCTAGTTCCCTGCTGTTAATGGAAATTAGGTGTTTCTATTTGGTCATTCTAAGTAACGGTGTCGAGGATATCAGCTCACACCTGATTCTCCCTCCAGCTTTCCCGTGGCTCTGGCTCCACCCCTCTGCTGATCTTTTTGCTGATCTCACTGACTTTTACTGCTACCACACGTGTTCCGTGTTCCGGAAGGCCTACGTTGTGCCAGGCTGTGTTGCTTCAGGCACGCTAACTTTCTCAAGGACCTTATGAGGGCAAAATCGTTATCATCTGTGTTGCTGTTAGTTCATCAGCAAGGAAAACTAAGACCTAGAGGAAAGGACTGCTCGGATCAGTTCTGTGGGTAATGGAAGAAACTGGCTATCGTAGTGTCTCCACCTTGTTACTATG